CATAAAGAAATAGATCTCATGTGGATCCACTGAGCCAAGTCAAGAAGTGTGGGTGTGTCCTTTCAGTGGAGGCAAGAGAGTCTGGGAAAGGTGGAAGAGCTGCAGGGGTTTCAGCACAATACACCAGATGCTGTGAAAGCCAGCCAGCACCCAGCAATCTCCCTCTCTCTCAAGTCGATTCTTAACCCGCAAATCAAATCTGCAGCTATAAAGTGAGGCCTGGAAGAGGCTCCCGGCAGGTGCTGTGCTTACCAGCTGGAAGCTCTTGGACCAGATGCGGAAGTAGAGGCGCAAGCTGACACTTTTCTGTCTCTGCACTGCCCCCATGTGGCAGCGGAGCTGGAAGCACTCCTCGTCATTGCATTTCTACAGCACAAGAAGGAACCATAGTCAGAAGAGAGCCTGAGGCTGAAAACACCCCCAGAAACCCAGTTAGGCCACTAGGGCCACAGGCAGCGAACAGATGCAGCAACAGTGCTTCTAATAACTAAAGCGTAACTCCTGGGGAAAGTCATCATGTCTAAGTGATTCACAAACTTTCTCCCTGACCCACGAACCTTTGAAAATTGTTGAGGATCTTGGCAGACCACTTAATGATTTTTCTGCCTGTTGCTTAGGAACTGCAATGTGCTTTGCACGTGCTGCCTCTCAGCCTTTCCCTCTCTTTCTCATGGCTTCCTTCCCTCCCATGTACTGACTTTCCACTCCTTTCAAATGCCTTGTCAGTCTCTTCTCCCCACTCAGGACCTAGCCCCATCTTGGCCCAGCTGCAGTTTTCTTCCTCCTCTGAAGGCAGCAGAGCCTTCTCTCCTTGCTGCTTCCACACTTTGGGAACCCTGCTCTAAAGCTATAGCTGGGAAGGGAAATGGTAAGGGCTGTACACAACTTTTCATGCCGACGGAGATCTTAGAATCACATGAAATCATTATGTGAGCAAAGGCTGCGGAAGAGAAGGGATGCATTAGGGCAGCGTTTCTCAACCTTTGGTCCCCAGATGTTGTTGAACTACAACTCCCATCATCCCTAGCTAGCAAGGCCAGAACTCAGGGATGATGGGAGTTGTAGTTCAACAACATCTGGGGACCCAGGGCTGAGAAACACTGCATTAGGGGCTTTGTCAGGCTGCAGCAGCAGCAGGAGGAAGAGAAGGGAAGCAGGACCACTCCATCAGCTCAGCTGGACCAGCAACTTTTGGCTTCTCCTCTCGCATTCCAGGTGGTCATTGTAAGTGCTCTGTAGATAAGAGCAAGTGCTCAAGTTTACGTTTTTCTTCCTACATGTTATGTAGTCTGAGGGCAGCTAACTGATTGCTGTAGGTCACTCTGGGTGATTTTTTTTCCAGCTGAAGAAGCTACAAGGCTTACCAGAGTGTTCAAAACTCCATCTTGTTTCTGCACATAGTGCTGCTCTGGCCAAGGTGAAGCTGCTGAGCTCTGCTCCAGCTAAGAGAGAAAGAGAGAAAGAAGGCACCTTTCTAAATAAGTTATCAATAGTCACGAGCCCATTGTACAAGCCTTTATATAGTCAGCTGTGACCCAGTGATACAGTTTACATAGTATATACTCTAGATGCTGCACCTCTGCTCACTCCACTCACCGACCCCACTGCCATTCCCCCCACATTAAGCTCCCCCTTCCCCTGCAACAACTCCTTCTGCCTCAGATGACAGAGGCATAGCCTTAGCACAGCCACCATGGCTAGGAGCCACCGATACCCTCCACCAATTTGTCCAATTCCTCTTTAAAGCCTTCCTTGTTGGTGGCCATCACCGAGTTCCATCCTTGAACTAACATTCCGCTTCTTTGCATGTCCATGAGTTCTGCTGAATTGGACTGAGCAGGAGTGCAACAGGAGATGCACAGAATTTATAAGAAAACAGCTGATTCTTTCATTGAGGTTTAGCAGTCTCCTTCTCTGGTAGTCAATCCTCTCTCACTTAAAACAAAAAACCCTCCCCATCCCATTGTTCAAAAGAAACTCAGCTCCTGGGTCTGCCTGTGTCAAGAAGCAGGCATGCAGTGTCTCATGGAGACACCATGCTTAATGGTTTTTTCTTTTCCAGCTGACCAATGGAGGCAGGTTACAAAGGCCAAATATATGCCAGGGGGCAAGAGAAGCTATTGGAGAAATGTTGGGGAAGGGGCAAAGCATTAGGGTTCCTGGCACAGAACAGGATGGGGATGAGTTACGAAGAAGGTTCAAAACCTGGAGTGCCATCAGATTGTCAGAGTGTTCAGGAAGGAGTCAAGAAAATACCAAGAAGCTGGAATAATTAAAGTGGATCAAGGCGATCTGTCTCTATGGCAACAAATCCACTTAAAACCCCCAGAAACTGGATTTTTGCAGTTTGGAAAGTAATGGGGAAATGCATTGAAAAGTGTAAGATGAACAAATGACTAACAGAATGATGTAGAAACACCCCAAAGGCAAATTAGGATGAATGCTCAATGTCATAGAACCTCTCTACAAACAAATTAAAATGAGCGCCCTAATGAAGGATACACATAATCTAACTTCTCTGTAGGCTTCGTGCAACCAAATTAGGATGAATGCTTAATAAATAGGCTTGTCTGGAGGAGAGGCTGGCATTCTGCACTGTGAACGCTGAGTTCCCCCACCCACCTAAAAATGCTCCTACTACAGTGGTACCCCGCAAGACGAACGCCTCGCGAGACGAAAAACTCGCAAAACGAAAGGTTTTTTCGTTTTCGAGTTGCCTCGCAAGACGAATTTCCCTATGGGCTTGCTTCGCAAAACGAAGCTTGCCCCGGGGACAGCGGGTCTTCTCTTTTGAAGCAAGGGGCTGCGGGGAGATAGTGATCTCCCCGCAGCCCCTTGCTGCAAAAGACGTCCGGGGGAAGTGGGAAGAAGCGCTTCGCTTCCCGCTGCCCCCGGACCTCTTTTGAAGCAAGGGGCTGGGGGGAGATAGCGATCTCCCTGCAGCCCCTTGCTGCAAAAGACGTCCGGGGGAAGCGGGGAAGCGAAGCGCTTCGCTTCCCGCTTCCCCCGGACCTCTTCTGAAGCAAGGGGCTGGGGGGAGATAGCGATCTCCCTGCAGCCCCTTGCTGCAAAAGACGTCGGGGGAAGCGGGGAAGCGAAGCGCTTCGCTTCCCGCTTCCCCCGGACCTCTTCTGAAGCAAGGGGCTGGGGGGAGATAGCGATCTCCCTGCAGCCCCTTGCTGCAAAAGACGTCCCGGGAGGTTTTAAAATGCTGGGGGTCGGGAGCGAAGCGCTGCCGACCCCCAGCATTTTAAAATCTCCCCGTGTCCCGGGGAGGTTTTAAAATGCTGGGGGTCGGGAGCGCTTCGCTCCCGACCCCCAGCATTTTAAAACGCTGTTCCGAAGGGGGGGCGGGGACAGCTGCCCCAGCCGCCCCACTTCGGAAAGCTGTTCCGAAGTGGGGAGGGGGGGCGGGGACAGCTGCCCCAGCCGCCCCACTTCGGAAAGCTGTTCCGAAGTGGGGCGGGGGGCGGGGACAGCTGCCCCAGCCGCCCCACTTCGGAAAGCTGTTCCGAAGTGGGGAGGGGGGGCGGGGACAGCTGCCCCAGCCGCCCCACTTCGGAAAGCTGTTCCGAAGTGGGGCGGGGGGGCGGGGACAGCTGCCCCAGCCGCCCCACTTCGGAAAGCTGTTCCGAAGTGGGGAGGGGGGGCGGGGACACCTGCCCCAGCCGCCCCACTTCGGAAAGCTGTTCCGAAGTGGGGCGGGGGGGCGGGGACAGCTGCCCCAGCCGCCCCACTTCGGAAAGCTGTTCCGAAGTGGGGCGGGGGGGCGGGGACACCTGCCCCAGCCGCCCCACTTCGGAAAGCTGTTCCGAAGTGGGGAGGGGGGGCGGGGACAGCTGCCCCAGCCGCCCCACTTCGGAAAGCTGTTCCGAAGTGGGGCGGGGACACCTGCCCCAGCCGCCCCACTTCGGAAAGCTGTTCCGAAGTGGGGAGGGGGGGCGGGGACACCTTCTGAAGGCGGGCAGGGGGCGAAAGTCTTTGTCCCCCCTGCCTGCCTTCCCAGGGGCTTTTAAATCGCCCCAGACAGCGGAGAAGTCCTCCGCTGTCCGGGGCGATTTTAAAATGCCGCCCGCCAGCATTTTAAGATCGCCCCGGACAGCGGAGAAGTCCTCCGCTGTCCCAGGGTTTTTTAAAATGCTGGGGGTGGGAAGAAAAGCCCTTGTCCCCCCCCCCCAGCCTTCAGACGAGGTCCGGGGACAGACTGTCCCCGGACCTGGTCTGAAGTCGGTTTCCCTAGGAACGCATTAATTGATTTTCAATGCATTCCTATGGGAAACCGTGCATCGCAAGACGAAAAAACCGCAAGACGAAGAGACTTGCGGAACGAATTAATTTCGTCTTGCGAGGCACCACTGTACTCAGCATTTTAACCCTGTGCTGATAGGGAATTGCACTGTCCCTGGTTGCAGAGGCTGAGCTCCAGGCCCCAAACTCACATCCCAGGCCAGTCCTCTGCAGAGTTGCTTCTTTTCCCGCCCGCTGACCAACCATTACCTGCAGGCGTGACGGGTTGAGGTGGTGGCTAGCGGTGCAGTTGGCTTGTGCCACGTAGCGTGTCATGTACATCACAGCTCGCCCTTGAGTCCGGAGCGGGCAGCTGATGTCCAGGATCCCCTCGCTGATGGCGCTTGGTCCATCATTCAAAAACTGCAGGACAAATGGAAGAAAACAAATCACAGGGACATCGGAAGTTGCATTCCATCACCAAGTCAGATTATGAGCCCATCTGGTTTGGGTGGTGTCTGTTATGACTGGAAATGGCTCTCTGGGGGTTGCAAGGACTAAGATGCTTTCCCATCACCTGCAGGCAAAGCAGATGCTCCAGCACTGAGGTACAGGACCCTCCCCAAAGAGGCGGCAGCAGGGATGGGGGTGGGGGACAAGCACAATGATCTAAACATGGTGGGACAGGCCCAGTGGTCACAGAGAAAGGAGGATAGACAGATTGGTACTGTTTAAATAGTGGCAAGCCAGGTGCTCCCAGGAATGAAGCAAACACTCTCTCCTGCAGTTTGCCCTTTAGCACCCATTATCCAACGATACACTGCCTCTAATGCTGGAGGTTCCATTTTGCTATCAGTGCTGCCAACAGATTTCTCCCTTGTGAAACCTTGAA